TGCTTGTTACCTGGAGTCCACCTGCTGTCTACCTGCTGGTTACCTGGAGTCTACCTCCTGTCTATGTGCTGGTTACCTGGAGTCTACCAGCTGTCTACCTGCTGGTTACCTGGAGTCTACCTGTTGTCTACCTGCTGGCTACCGGAAGTCTACCTGCTGTCTACCTGCTTGTTACCTGGAGTCTACCTGCTGTCTACCTGCTTGTTACCTGGAGTCTACCTGCTGTCTACCTTCTGGTTACCTGGAGTCTACCTGCTGTCTACCTGCTGGTTACCTGGAGTCTACCTGCTGTCTACCTGCTGGTTACCTACAGTCTACCTGCTGTCTACCTGCTGGTACCTGGAGTGTACCTGCTGTCTACCTGCTGGTTACCTGGAGTCTTCCTGCTGTCTGCCTGCTGGTTACCTGGAGTGTACCTGCTGTCTACCTGCTGGTTACCTGGAGTCTACCTGCTGTCTACCTGCTGGTTACCTGGAGTCTACCTGCTGTGCACTTGTTGGTTACCTGGAGTCTACCTGCTGTCTACCTGCTGGTTACCTTGAGTCTTCCCACTGTCTACCTGCTGGCTACCTGGAGCCTACCTGCTGGTTACCTGGAGTCTACCTGCTGGTTACCTGGAGCCTACCTTCTAATTACCTTGAGTCTACCTGCTGGTTACCTTGAGTCTACCTGCTGGTTACCTGGGGTCTACCTGCTTTTTACCTGCAGTCTACCTGCTGTTTACCTGGAGTCTACCTGCTGGCTACCAGTAGTCTACCTGCTGGTTACATGGAGTCTACATGTTGGTTATCTGGAGTCTACCTGCTGGTTACCTGGAGTCTACCTGCTGGTTACCTGGAGTCTACCTGCTGGTTGTTTCTAGGGTCAACGCACCCCGCTGCCCGGTTGTCAATCGGACCTCCCGGTAGCTCAGGGCCTGATCAACCAGACTGTTACTGATAGCTGTACGCAATCCAACACCCGGCTGCTCGGGCACTGGCTTAGGTATCTGTCCAGTGCTTGAGTTGAAGACACGGGATGGTGCTTCAGCGTGTGTTACTTGGTGCTTCAGCGTGTGTTACTTGGTGCTTCAGCGTGTGTTACTTGGTGCTTCAGCGTGTGTTACTTGGTGCTTCAGCGTGTGTTACTTGGTGCTTCAGCGTGTGTTACTTGGTGCTTCTGCGTGTGTTACTTGGTGCTTCAGCGTGTGTTACTTGGTGCTTCAGCGTGTGTTGCTTTGTGCTTCAGCGTGTGTTACTTGGTGCTTCACGTGTGTTTACTTGGTGCTTCAGCGTGTGTTACTTGGGGCTTCAGCGTGTGTGCTTTTGGGGCTTCAGCGTGTGTTACTTGGTGCTTCAGCGTGTGTTACTTGGTGCTTCAGCGTGTGTTACTTGGTGCTTCAGCGTGTGTTACTTGGTGCTTCAGCGTGTGTTGCTTGGTGCTTCAGCGTGTGTTGCTTGGTGTTCAGCGTGTGTTACTTGGTTTCTTCAGCGTGTGTTACTTGGTGGGTTCAGGGTGTGTTGCTTGGTGCTTCAGCGTGTGTTGCTTGGGGCTTCAGCGTGTGTTACTTGGTGCTTCTGCGTGTGTTACTTGGTGTTTCAGCGTGTGTTACTTGGTGCTTCAGGGTGTGTTTCTTGGTGCTTCAGAGTGTGTTACTTGGTGCTTCTGCGTGTGTTACTTGGTGCTTCTGCTGTGTTATTGGTGCTTCAGCGTGTGTTACTTGGTGCTTCAGCGTGTGTTACTTGGTGCTTCTGCGTGTGTTACTTGGTGCTTCAGCGTGTATTACTTGGTGCTTCTGCGTGTGTTACTTGGTGCTTCAGCGTGTGTTGCTTGGTGCTTCAGGGTGTGTTGCTTGGTGCTTCTGCGTGTGTTACTTGGTGCTTCAGGGTGTGTTGGTTGCTGTTTCAGGGTGTGTTACTTGGTGCTTCAGCGTGTATTCCTTGGTGCTTCAGCGTGTGTTGCTTGGTGCTTCAGGGTGTGTTGCTTGGTGCTTCAGCGTTTGTTGCTTGGTGCTTCAGGGTGTGTTGCTTGGTGTTCAGCGTGTATTACTTGGTGCTTCAGCGTGTTGGGTTGGGGTTTTGCTTCAGGATGTGTACTTGGTGCTTCAGGGTGTGTTGCTTGGTGCTTCAGGGTGTGTTGCTTGGTGCTTCAGGGTGTGTTGCTTGGTGCTTCAGGGTGTGTTGCTTGGTGCTTCAGGGTGTGTTGCTTGGTGCTTCAGGGTGGGGTTGCTTGGTGCTTCAGGGTTTTTTGCTTGGTGCTTCAGGGTGTGTTTGCTTGGTGCTTCAGGGTGTGTTGTTGGTGTTTAGGGTGTGTTCCTTGGTGCTTCAGCGTGTGTTGGTTGGGCTTTAGGAGTTTATTGGTGCTTCAGCGTTTGTGTTTTTGCTCTGCTTCAGCGTGTGTTACTTGGTGCTTCAGGGTGTGTTACTTGGTGCTTCAGCGTGTGTTGCTTGGTGCTTCAGGGTGTGTTACTTGCTGCTTCAGGGTGTGTTACTTGGTGCTTCAGCGTGTATTACTTGGTGCTTCAGGGTGTGTTTACTTGCTGCTTCAGGGTTTTTGTTACTTGGTGCTTCAGCGTGTATTACTTGGTGCTTCAGGGTGTGTTACTTGCTGCTTCAGGGTGTGTTACTTGGTGCTTCAGCGTGTATTACTTGGTGCTTCAGGGTGTGTTACTTGGTGCTTCAGCGTGTATTACTTGGTGCTTCAGCGTGTGTTACTTGGTGCTTCAGCGTGTATTACTTGGTGCTTCAGCGTGTGTTACTTGGTGCTTCAGCGTGTGTTACTTTGTGCTTCAGCGTGTTACTTGGTGCTTCAGCGTGTGTTACTTGATGCTTCAGCGTGTGTTACTTGGTGCTTCAGCGTGTGTTACTTGGTGCTTCAGCGTGTGTTACTTGGTGCTTCTGCGTGTGTTACTTGGTGCTTCAGCGTTTGGCTTTGTGCTTCAGCGTGTGTTGCTTGGTGCTTCAGGGTGTGTTGCTTGGTGCTTCAGGGTGTGTTCCTTGGTGCTTCAGCGTGTGTTGGTTGGTGCTTCAGGATGTGTTACTTGGTGCTTCAGGGTGTGTTGGTTGCTGCTTCAGGATGTGTTACTTGGTGCTTCAGGGCGTGTTGGTTGGTGCTTCAGCGTGTGTTGCTTGGTGCTTCAGCGTGTGTTACTTGGTGCTTCAAGGTGTGTTGGTTTTTGCTTGAAGGTGTGTTGCTTGGTCGGGTGCTGTTTCTGTGAATGGTGCTTGTATAGTTCTAGAACTAGCTGGTAGTGCTGGTTCAGAACCAGAAAATATAGTTGGGAACCCCAGCCAGACTCCCTCACATCTGTTCCAACTCGAACAGTCGCCGTCTAGTTGAATCCTCTCTAATACACAACTTTCCTTGTATGAACCTTAGTCCTGGCTTCGTCTCTGTAGATGCCTTCCTCTCCCACTACATTGTAAAATGCTCCAAACTTCAGAACACCCGTGACTTAACCTGACTCCTCATTTTTTCTTTTTCTTTTTCTTCTTCTCCCTCTTCCCCTTTCCTCTTTCCTTTTCTCCTCTGGGTTGTCTTTCTCTCTTCTGTCTCGTGTTTCTGTTCCTTCTTCATTTATTTCCCACTTTCCCTTTCACGCACCTCTGTGCGCTTGCTCTCCCTCAGTGGGCACCTAGCTCTCTTGCAGTGCTCCCCTTCCTTTGTATTTGACTGGTTCGTCCTCCTTATTTCCCACTTCTACCACTACCACTACTACTACCTCTTCTACTACTACAACTACTGATGAAATTAAGACACATGTGCGGCGTCTGGTTGTCTTTGTTGAGGACGTTTCGCCATCCAGTGGCTGGCTGGATGGCGAGACGTCTACGATTGGGATACCAGGGTGTTGCGCATGTCTTAATTTCATCTTGTCGGTATTATATACCATTCTTGTACTACTACTACTACTACTATTACTACTACCACCACCTCTTCCTGACTATATATAGCCGTCCTGCTCCACTTCTGGTTAGTGTGACTTTGTTAATGGTCCAAGTCGGACCGAAACGTCGTCGTAAGCTTCTCTCTTTTATATGTGGGTTATTTGTGTAACCTTCCTGGGTGGTTGTTGTCTACCAACCTACTACCACAGAACGGTAGTACCTTCCTGGGTGGTTGCTGTCTACCAGCCTACTACCACAGAACGGTAGTACCTTTCTGGGTGGTTGCTGTCTACCAACCTACTACCACAGAACGGTAGTACCTTCCTGGGTGGTTGCTGTCTACCAACCTACTACCACAGGATGGTAGTACCTCCTTGGGTGGTTGCTGTCTATCATCCTATTACCACAGGATGGCAGTACTTCCCTTGGTGGTTGCTGTCTACCAACCTACTACCACAGGATGGTAGTACTTCCCTTGGTGGTTGCTGTCTACCAACCTACTACCACAGGATGGTAGTACTTCCCTTGGTGATTGTTGTCTACCAACCTACTACCACAGAATGGTAGTACCTCCCCGGGTGGTTGCTGTCTACCAACCTACTACTACCGGACAGTAGTAGCCCCCTGGGTGGTTGCTGTCTACCAGCCTACTACCACAGGACAGTAGTACCTCCCTCAGTGGTTGCTGTGTACCAACCTACTACTACAGGATGGTAGTACCTCCCTGGGTGGATGCTGTCTATCAACCTACTTCCACAGGATGGTAGCATATCCCTGGGTGGTTGCTCTCTACCAACCTACTACCACAGGATGGTAGTACCTCCCTGGGTGGATGCTGTCAACCAACCTACTACCACAGGATGGTAGTACCTCCCTGGGTGGATGCTGTCTACCAACCTACTACCACAGGATGGTAGTACCTCCCTGGGTGGATGCTGTCTACGAACCTACTTCCGCAGGATGGTAGTACCTCCCTGGGTGGTTGCTGCCTACCAACCTACTTCTGCAGGATGGTAGTACCTCCCTGGGTAGTTGCTGTCTACCAACCTACTGTATTTTATTATATATACACAGGAGGATATCCAATAAATCCTTCAGCTGTATAGTCACTGATGAACACTATTAATGTTTCAGATGGGCCGCCGGTGATTAAGGAGCATCCTAGCAATGTAGTTGCTCGTCGCAATGATCCAGTCACACTCAACTGCGCAGCTTCAGGTGCCACCAGCATCAGATGGTTCCGTGACGGCAAGGAGGTCATTACATCTACACAAGACCCTCGCTCTCACCGAGTCCTTCTGCCTGCTGGTTCACTCTTTTTCCTTCGTGTCACGTCCACCAGGAAGGACAGTGATACTGGCACATATTGGTGTGTGGCTTCCAATAATTATGGCGCTACACGCTCCCACAATGCCACCCTGACTGTGGCAATGCTTGCATATGAATTCCAAAGCCAGGCAGAACCTGTGATGAAGGCCCGCATTGGGGACTCTGTCTGCTTACATTGCCAGCCACCATTGGGCACTCCTTCACCAGAGCTGACCTGGTTGAAGGATGGCCGCCAGATGAGTAACTCCAGCCGCATTAGTATCACCCAGACAGGAGAGTTAGTCATCAACCAGGCCATCCAGGAAGACTCAGCGACCTACACTTGTCGTGCCCGTAATGCTGCTGGAACAAGAGAATCTTCACCGACCCAACTAATTATCATGAGTAATTGTTTACGTTTTATTTTGTGTTATAAATCTGTGCATTAATGTATTTTTTTCTTATCAATTTCTTGCATTTGCTTACATTATATTTCTGTTACTTTCAAGGAACCTGTAAATATGGATTTATACAGCCATGTTGACTGCATTATCTTGTATTAATAAAGACAATTATCCTCAGTTCCACCCCGATTTGAGGAGAGACCAGCCAACGTTACAAGTCCATCAGGAGTGGTAGTGGAGCTGAAGTGTAGAGCTCAAGCATCTCCCGCTCCTACAGTGACTTGGCGCAGGTTAGATGGGAAGATGCCACTGGGACGTGTCAGGATAGAGGAACAGCATCAACGCTTGGTGTTGGAACATGTGACAGTAGATGAATCTGGCATTTATGTGTGTGAGGTGGAGAATGAAGCAGGTATCGCCATAGCACAGGCCACTGTCAAAATAGTCGACGCCCCTGATTTGGCAGATTCACTGCAGAACTTTCAGGTTATGGTTGGAGACGACGTAATGATTTCGTGTAATGTAAAGGGTGAGCCTCAACCCCTGGTACTCTGGCGCCTCCCCACGTTAGATAGAACAGCTCTTCTAACTCTAGGCCAGACCAAGGGCCATTCTTCTGTGTCTGATGATGGTCGCTTTCTGATGCTAAAGAATGTAGCTAAAGAGGACAGTGGCACATACTACTGCTGGGGTGTGAGTAGTGGCGGGGGTGTAAAAGGACAGGCAGAAGTGATAGTTGTGTCAGCACTTCCACCACCAGTAATAGGCATCGAACCCAAAGATCTTACAGTTGCCCCAGGAGATATTGCTTCTTTCCCTTGCGAGGTAGTGAGCGAGGCAGCTGAAGCCACCATCTCCTGGTGGTACAGTCCAGCTGTTCACCTTCGTCCCCGTCAACTCTCCAAAGACTCTGTTGATTCTAGAATGTCGCTTCCAGACAATGGTGCTCTCATCCTCAAGAATGTGAATCTAGATGATGCAGGCATATATACCTGCCGTGCAACTGCAGTTACTGGCACTGTGGAGCAGGCAGCAGTACTCAGAGTAGAGCATTATGCTAAATCAACTGAACCCTTATTGCTGCCAGCACCTCCCTCCAAGCCACGTCTTATAGCAATAAACCAAACATCTGTGCAATTGAGCTGGCTTCCCAACTCTCAAGTGAGTGTAGAGTCAGGTCAGCGGTACACCGTGGAGTACTGGAGACAGGGTTGGGATGAATGGCGGGTGGCTGATGCTGCTATGATGCCTGAGTCGTGTATTGTAAGTCACCTCACACCAGGACACACCTACACCTTCCTGGTTCGTGCTGTCAACAGTAAAGGGGCGTCATTCCCGAGCCCCTGGTCAGACCCAGTGACCACCAACCTTCCTCGTGACCCCAACCTCACAGTAGAACAGGTGCGCCAGGCTCGTCGACGCCTCTCTCGCCCCATCGTCACTCTCATCAATGCTACCATCACTGCCCCAGAGAGTGTGCTACTCAACTATGAATTCCTGACCACAGCGGATGAGTCTGTGGAAGGCGTGTTGGTGTACTCAGTGGCAAAAGTGGGTACAGTGCAAGTAGCTACTGTCCTGGGAACCTCATCTACTTCCCACCTCTTGCATCATCTGCATCCCAATACTCCCTACACCTTCTTTATCGTCCCTTTCTGGCACAGTATCGAGGGAACTCCCAGCAACTCTCACTCACTTATCACGCCAGAAGATGGTAAGCTCTTATCTCTTACTAATTGCTATTTCACTTTTCTTCTTAAATTGGATTAAACTTTTCCTTGCTAAATATTTAATGAACCTTTCTAGAGAAGATTTACTTCTCAGTAAGTTAAGTATTCCCATGATAGCAACTTAATCGTGGTAAAGGTTAAGTTGCTCTCCCTGATAACAAACTTGACTGGAAGCTCGGAACTTCTTACCTTATCCTTTCAACCAAAATAATTGGGAAATTACCTCTTTCATCAAAATTATTTGGTATCTAAATCACTCCTGGTTTGGAAAATTCTCGAAACTGGTCACAGGTGGTTTGCAAACCTATAGTAGTAACCTTTTACCCCTGGTGGCTGCCACACTACGATGAAGATACTGGGATATCCGAAGGCAAATAAATTACTGAAGTAGCCACCATTTTTGTGGTGACTGAAAAAATATGGTTTTTAGTTTTTCCTGCCTCTCCCTCTGATCCCATTATTAGGTAAATGATAGCAGCACTGTCAGTGATCTAAGCCTCAGTCTAAATATAAGGTAGTGATGCCTAACCTGGCATTTTATTTTTTCTGGGCAGCTACCAGAGAAATTGTGCTCTGTTGTAAAGAACATTTTGATCCTGTCTCATCTCAAGGGTCCCGATCCTCTCCCAGACCTTCCAGTGGATCAGGGTCTGATCAACCAGAATGTTACTACTGGACACACAATCTAGTGTACAAACCACAACCCAGCTGATCGGGCACTGACTTTAGGTATCTATCCAGTTCCCTCTGAAGACAGCCAGGGGTTTATTGGTAGTTCCCCTTATATATGATGAGAGGCTATCGAACAGTCTTAGGCCCCGGACAGTTATTGTGTTGTCTCTTAGTTTATTGAACAAATGCAACAACAACTCCAAAACTATATCCACCAACTAGTTTTAACACTTCTGTTTTATTCCCATCAACCCCAGATGCAATATTACCTTTCATTCTACCTAGGTACCGGTTTTGACCACAATGTAGTATAGCAAAATCACTCCTCATTGTGGCCTTCCCTGATCACATATACTGCTTTGTACTTAGTCTCTGCTATGCCCTACAGATGACCACCAAGATGAGGGGGTTTTGCTCCTCGTATTTTGACCACAGTGCACACCTGACTTGTTTCGGTAGTCCCTTAGAACTTAAGTATTTGCTGGGACCTCAAAAAAATTGGGGGGATTTTTTTGCGTTAATGTCACATTTTTTCTATTTTGATATAAGAATGCTTATTGTATTATTGTTTATTTGAGAGTTTTTAGTTCTAATTTATTTTAAATTCTTTCTCACTGACAGTACCTGTGTCTGCTCCTGGTGAGGTGCATGTGACAGTACACGAGGAGGAATCTGCACTAATTAGGTGGTCGAGTATAAGCGTCGATGAAACTCGAGGAAATCTGCAGGGCTATCAGGTGATAATAAGTTATAATGGTAGCCAGACCACAGAGACGGTCGTGAGTCCCTGGTTGGAGGCTCGTGGCCTCCTGCCTGGTCGTCTGTACACTGTGCGTGTAGCGGCCCTCACGGGGGCAGGTCTTGGGCCCTTTAGTGATCCCTTTTTGCTGGATATAAGACACAGTGACACCCACAACATTCAGAGAGTCAACACAGTCCTTGATAATGGTGATTCTGTAATGTATGCACCACCGCAGCCAGTTTGGCTAGTGTACCTCTTGATACCTCTAGTACTCTTGGTGTTCCTGGTTACTTTGCTGTATGTCAAACGACTACACCAAAAATCACCGTCTTCCAGCCCACCTAACACTGCTACCCTTTATCAGGACCGATCCTGCTACCCAGACCACCACTCGGTCAACATGTACAGTGAGCAAAAACTGTGGCGACCTTCGGAAAGTGACAAGGATCCTAGTTTATCTTCAGCACGGCTCCTGCACACAGATCAACTGGTAAATGAATATGCAGAGCCACGGGTTCAGGGGCTTAATGATGCAGCAGAGCCTTACGCCACCACTGCATTGCTGGCACCCCCATCACTCTGTGATTCTTGGCAGCATCACAGTAGTGAATCTGTCATGCAGGTCAACTGGGCTGCATTCCTACCTCCTCCACCCACCTGTCCACCACCACTTGACTTAGGAGACACTGCTGGTGGCAGTGCTCAGCAGGAGACCCACATGGCAGCCTCTGGTTCGCAGTATGACAACACGAGTAGATCAGAGCAGTATGAGCGACCATGTGATGCTACTTCGGATATCACCGACGATGTGTATTCACACGTGACACCTGCTGATTGTCGAAATGGGTTCCTTGCTTTCAATACCTTACAGGACCGCAGCTGTCAGAAAGTACGAGCTGACTGCCACCCTTCACCTCTTACAGACGCACCAAGCAGCAACACCCACTAGCACTCTTGTCTACTGTGTCAACTGAATCTTACACATTACCACTAGCATATACCAGTGTGGTCTCGACTAGCAGGCCCACCACTCAGGGACACGAATCTGTAATTACGCAAAATTAAAACTGGTAGTTACATGTCGAATCTTTTGGCTTATTCTAGAGATCAGTTGGATAGTAAATCTCCCTCAACACTTAATTCAGTTAGATTCATTGTGCCACAAAATGGCTGCTAGGATGTCCTTGATCCTATTGTTGCAGAGTTCAGAATATAATGGCGAAGATGTTGGACTAGTAACTTATGGTGCCATGGTATTTTCATTGTATATATTGCAAA